CACTGATACCCCACCCAGGGACTGATTCCGAGCCGACCAGTCTTTGTTTTATCCCCTTAATGCCGAACGCCAGGGAGGGTAACAAGTACATCTCTGAACGTCTTTTGGTACGATGCGGCCAGGGGATTGAACCACGGACCTTGCGCTTTCCGACGCTCTATCCTCTAGACCACGGAGGCGGCCACAAAGATAGATCATAACGAAAGTTAATTTTTAAAAATATATGCAATCATTTATTAAAATTTGAAATGAAGCTGCAAATTGCCCACGTGAAATTGCAACGCATATTTCGATTCTTACCACACGATCGCCAAATAACCAGACACATTCCCCCTTTAACTGGACACACTGAATTTCCCTCTCAAAAGTCAAAGAAATTATCTCGTATTTAAGCGGGGAACACAAACAAAATAGAATTCCGAATAACACTACTTTGGGGTATCGAAGCCCCATTTTAGAATTGATGCCTTGGTATACATGTTGTCTCTCGGCAATATAAAGATGATTCAGCCTACCAAGCAATGATATATAGTTAACAGATGCCGTATATATGTACCGACTGTTGATTCAGTGAGTAATGGCGTGGATCGACGCTCCCGTCTGATTTCACATCACCCTTCCAGCAGTCTCGTTGCAGGACGTACTGCCACCCAATCCATGACGACCGATACATCACATCAGTTAAATTGTACAGTTCATACGTATCCGCTGTATCCGAGATAGTTTTTACCGTGCAGGCACGCTTTCGCATGTGTACACATGCATAATTTATGGATATGTTTCACTTACAAACCTGTCAATGCATTTTTGAATTTGATTTGGCAATTTCTTCCAATTTATTGAATCTTATTTTGATAACGGATAGACTTGTGCAAAGGGCAAGAAACCCGTGTCAGATTCCACGACTGTTTCTCAAGAATATGAATCATACCTATATCAAATATGATATCATCTCTTATCAAAGACAAAACCTTTTTCTGACAACATAGAATTACTTCCAACTTTTGTTACCGCCTACGCGTTTCTTTTTGTAAAGAATATCATTTTACAATATATGTTTTGTATGAAATGACGCTCCAATTTGACCAGCCTTTTCGAGAAACGTCAGCCAATCAATTGTCGCGGTCCTTTCCAATCCCATCTCTGATTACGCCACAAGCATTTCACCCCTCCTGTCGTACATCCGATTTCAATAACTGATCCAAGCACGCATATCCAGTTTAGTAATCCATACCACCAACCCAACCCGAGTCCCGGTCACCATGCCCTACTCCAACCGACCTGAAGTCATTACTCGCCATCCAAAGTTATCTCATTCCATATGAAAACAATAATTCTTTCTGCACTGAACTGAAACTGAACTCTAAACATTACGCCCCGTCATGTAATTCCAGTTCATAACGCCCCCGCCTTCCTATGCCTGGTCATTCCAGTTCCAGGTTATTACGCCTCTCCTCATCATGACGCCCCATCCCATCTAATTCCTGGTTTTAACGCCCCACTCCGCCCCATACAAATGCTGGTTGTAACGCCCCACTCCACCCTATCCAAATCCTGCTTTTACGCCCCACCCCATCCGATTCCTGGTTTTAACGCCAATTCCCATCCAATTCCTGGCTTTAACGCCCCACCCCATCCAATTCTTGGTTATAACGCCCAACCCCATCCGGTTCTTGCTTAAAACGCCCACCCCCCTCCAATTTCTGGTTTTAACGGCCAACCCCAACCAATTCCTTGTTGTAACGCCCCTACCCATCCGATTCCTGGTTTTAACACCAATTCCCCTCCAATTCCCGTCTTTAACGCCCCGACCCATCCAATTCTTGGTTATAACGCCCAACCCCATCCAATTCTTGCTTATAACGCCCACCCCCTCCAATTTCTGGTTTTAACGGCCAACCCCGACCAATTCCTGGTTGTAACGCCCAACCCCCTCCAAATCCTGGTTGTAACGCCCCACCCCATCCAATTCCTGGTTTTAAGGCCCCACCCCTTCCAATTCCTGGTTATAACGCCCAACACCATCTAATTCCTGGTTTAAACGCCCTACCCAATCCAGTTCCTGGTTTTAACGCCCCACCCCATCCAATACCTGATTGTAACGCTCAACCCTATCCAATTCCTGGTTGTTCTTTCTCTATACTTCCATCATTCATGACCCACCAACCGATACTCCTACTATGCTCTTGTTATCCTCACACACATTTAATCAATCACATCACATCCGGCCGCACCTGATTCCTCTGTATTACGTTCATCATTCCCCAACTTCAATCGACACATTCATTATACATCTGCTCCCTGGTAATTACACCCCGATTCCTGGACTCATACACACACAACGAACTCCATCCCACCCGCACACATACACACACCACGAACTCCATCCCACCCGCGCACATACACACACCACGAACTCCATCCCACCCGCGCACATACACACACGACGAACTCCATCCCACCCGCGCACATACACACACCACGAACTCCATCCCACACACGCACATACACACACCACGAACTCCATCCCACACACGCACATACACACACCACGAACTCCATCCCACCCGCGCACATACACACACCACGAACTCCATCCCACACACGCACATACACACACCACGAACTCCATCCCACCCGCGCACATACACACACCACGAACTCCATCCCACACACGCACATACACACACCACGAACTCCATCCCACCCGCGCACATACACACACCACGAACTCCATCCCACACACGCACATACACACACCACGAAATCCATCCCAAAACGCACGCACACAAACACACCACTACCTCAAAACACCCAACACCACTACCTCCATCCCACACAAGCACATACACACACCACGAAATCCATCCCAAAACGCACGCACACCAACACACCACCACCTCAAAACACCCCACACCATGAACTCCATCCCATCCGTGCACATACACACACCACGAAATCCATCCCCAAACGCACGCACACAAACACACCACCACCTCAAAACACCAAACACCACAACCTCCATCCCACGCACACCACGAACTCCATGCCACACACGCGCTCACACAAACACACCACCACCTCCATCCCACGCACACACACACACGCACGCACACGCACATCACTACCTCCATCCCACACACGCACGCACGCACGCACGCACCTACACACACGACTACCGCCATCCCACATACACGCGCGCACACACACACACACACACACACCACTACGTCCATCCCACACACGCACGCACACACGCACATACACACATGACTACCTCCATCCCACACACGCACACACACACACACACACCACTACGTCCATCCCACAAACTCACATACACACACATCATTACCTCCATCCCACACACACACGCACGCACATACACACACCACTACCTCCATCCCCCACACATACACACACACACACATACCACTACCTTCATCCAACACACGCACACACAACGAACTCCATCCCACACACGCACGCAAACACACCACTACTTCCATCCCCACACACACGCACGCACATACACACACCACTGGCTCATTCCCACACACGTACACACAAACACACAAACAACGAACTCCAGCCCACACGCACGCACGCAAACACACCACTACCTCAACCCCCCACACACGCACGCGCATACACACACCACCATCACCACACATACACACACTACGAACTCCAGCCGACACACGCACGCAAACACACCACTACCTCCATCCCCCCACACACGCACGCGCATACACACACCACCATCTCCATCCCACACGCGCACATACACACACCACGAACTCCATCCCACAAGCGCACATACACACACCACGAACTCCATCCCACACGCGCACATACACACACCACGAACTCCATCCCACCCGCGCACATACACACACCACGAACTCCATGCCACACGCGCACATACACACACCACGAACTCCATCCCACACACGCACATACACACACCACGAACTCCATCCCACACACGCACATACACACACCACGAACTCCATCCCACAAGCGCACATACACACACCACGAACTCCATCCCACACACGCACATACACACACCACGAACTCCATCCCACCCGCGCACATACACACACCACGAACTCCATCCCACCCGCGCACATACACACACCACGAAATCCATCCCACCCGCGCACATACACACACCACGAACTCCATCCCACACGCGCACATACACACACCACGAACTCCATGCCACACGCGCACATACACACACATCACCACCATCTCCATCTCACACGCGCACATACACACACCACGAACTCCATCCCCAAACGCACGAACACGCACACACCACCACCTCCATCCCATACACGCACACATACAACATCACGTCCCTCCCCCCCCCCCCGCCCCCCCCCCCCCCCCCGCCACACACACACCACTACCACACACGCACACATACACCACCACCACCCCCCCCCCACACCTCTACCTCCATCCCACACACGCACATACACATACACCACCACCCCCATCCCCCCCCCCCCCCCCCCCCCCCCCCCCCACACACACACACCACGAACTCCATCCCACACACGCACACACTACCATCTCCACCCCCACCCCCACACATACACACACCGCCACCTCTATCCCACAAAAGCATGCGCACCACAAACCGCACGCAACAGTCAGCACCCACAGAATGATTTCATTTATTCAAGTCCTAATTTAAGAAGTCGACCACTGGGCATTCATGTAAGGGGAGGGGTGGGGGATTTAAAAAAAATATATTTCTAAAATATTGTTCGGTCCTTACTCTGCGTCTCTCTTGGATTCACTCCTTCACCACCAACATTCTGTTCGCCATAAATCACTGCATAGCTCACACGATCACGGTTTCTGTACTATGATTTATATGGTGAAAACAGCTAGTAGGTTACAAATCGTGTGCGTTCATTGAAGCAAATATTTTTCATGTAAGAGTTCTTTTGGCAACACTGTATTTGTATGCCTTTAGTTGATTACTCTATGTCATGTAGGTTGCAGGTTTGATTCATGAGAGTTGTAGAGCTCACAACAATGTATTTATTAAAGACCACAAGCAAAGGGAGAACTGTATTGGTAGGCAGTGGGGTTAGGGGGGTAAGGACTGTGACTGTGATGGTAGGTGGTGGGGGTAGGGGGAGGAAGGAGTGTGACTGTGATGGTAGGTGGTGGGGGTAGGGGGAGGAAGGAGTGTGACTGTGATGGTAGGTGGTGGGGGTAGGGGGGTAAGGACTGTGACTGTGATGGTAGGTGGTGGGGGTAGGGGGAGGGATGAGTGTGACTGTGATGGTAGGTGGTGGGGGTAGGGGGAGGGATAAGTGTGACTGTGATGGTAGGTGGTGGGGGTAGGGGGGTAAGGAGTGTGACTGTGATGGTAGGTGGTGGGGGTAGGAGGAGGGATGAGCGTGACTGTGATGGTAGGTGGTGGGGGTAGGGGAAGGAAGGAGTGTGGTTGTGATGGTAGGCAGTGGGGTTAGGGGGGTAAGGACTGTGACTGTGATGGTAGGTGGTGGGGGTAGGAGGAGGGATGAGTGTGACTGTGATGGTAGGTGGTGGGGGTAGGGGAAGGAAGGAGTGTGGTTGTGATGGAGGGTGGTGGGGGTAGGGGGGTAAGGACTGTGACTGTGATGGTAGGTGGTGGGGGTAGGGGGAGGAAGGAGTGTGACTGTGATGGTAGGTGGTGGGGGTAGGGGGAGGAAGGAGTGTGACTGTGATGGTAGGTGGTGGGGGTAGGGGGGTAAGGACTGTGACTGTGATGGTAGGTGGTGGGGGTAGGGGGAGGGATGAGTGTGACTGTGATGGTAGGTGGTGGGGGTAGGGGGAGGGATAAGTGTGACTGTGATGGTAGGTGGTGGGGGTAGGGGGGTAAGGAGTGTGACTGTGATGGTAGGTGGTGGGGGTAGGGGGGTAAGGAGTGTGACTGTGATGGTAGGTGGTGGGGGTAGGAGGAGGGATGAGTGTGACTGTGATGGTAGGTTGTGGGGGTAGGGGAAGGAAGGAGTGTGGTTGTGATGGTAGGCAGTGGGGTTAGGGGGGTAAGGACTGTGACTGTGATGGTAGGTGGTGGGGGTAGGAGGAGGGATGAGTGTGACTGTGATGGTAGGTGGTGGGGGTAGGGGAAGGAAGGAGTGTGGTTGTGATGGAGGGTGGTGGGGGTAGGGGGGTAAGGAGTGTGGTTGTGATGGTAGGTGGTGGGGGTAGGGGGAGGGATGAGTGTGACTGTGATGGTAGGTGGTGGGGGTAGGGGGAGGGATGAGTGTGACTGTGATGGTAGGTGGTGGGGGTAGGGGGAGGGATGAGTGTGACTGTGATGGTAGGTGGTGGGGGTAGGGGGAGGGATGAGTGTGACTGTGATGGTAGGTGGTGGGGGTAGGGGGAGGGATAAGTGTGACTGTGATGGTAGGTGGTGGGGGTAGGGGGGTAAGGAATGTGACTGTGATGGTAGGTGGTGGGGGTAGGGGAAGGAAGGATGAGTGTGACTGTGATGGTAGGTGGTGGGGGTAGGGGGGTAAGGACTGTGACTGTGATGGTAGGTGGTGGGGGTAGGGGAAGGAAGGAGTGTGGTTGTGATGGAGGGTGGTGGGGTTAGGGGGGTAAGGAGTGTGACTATGATGGTAGGTGATGGGGGTAGGAGGAGGGATGAGTGTGACTGTGATGGTAGGTGGTGGGGGTAGGGGAAGGAAGGAGTGTGGTTGTGATGGAGGGTGGTGGGGGTAGGGGGAGGAAGGAGCGTGACTGTGATGGAAGGTGATGGGGGTAGGGGGAGGGATGAGTGTGACTGTGATGGTAGGTGGTGGGGGTAGGGGAAGGAAGGAGTGTGGTTGTGATGGAGGGTGGTGGGGGTAGGGGGAGGAAGGAGCGTGACTGTGATGGAAGGTGGTGGGGGTAGGGGAAGGAAGGAGTGTGACTGTGATGGTAGGTGGCGGGGGTAGGGGAAGGAAGGAGTGTGGTTGTGATGGTAGGTGGTGGGGGTAGGGGAAGGAAGGAGTGTGGTTGGGATGGTAGGTGGTGGGGGTAGGGGATGGAAGGAGTGTGACTGTGATGGTAGGTGGCGGGGGTAGGGGAGGAAGGAGCGTGACTGTGATGGTAGGTGGTTGGGGTAGGGGGAGGAAGGAGTGTGACTGTGATGGTAGGTGGCGGGGGTAGGGGAGGAAGGAGCGTGACTCACCGGTCCTGGTGTCGTAAAATACTTCAACATCAATTAATATCAAGACTTTCAGAAATGCACCATCCTATTATCTTTATACGGTTGGAGTTTTTTCTTCAAGAAGTGTAAAAAATATATCAACCGTGCCATGTATCCTGTTCTTCGCATATCTTTTATTGTATACTTTCGAGCAGAGACAAAAACACAATGAGCAAATACATGTCCAATCGTTTTAAATTAGTCTTAAGTATTTGATTTTTGTTAAAATGATGCCTAACAAATCTTGTCCAATTAAGATACACGGTAAAACTATGTAACTGATTTTCTATTCAAGACATTGTTGACATGATAATTTGTTTATATCGCGTCATATTCTGTTTTACAACGGACAACACTTAACAGTGTCTGCTTTTCAAACAAGTTTAATATTTGCAGTTCATTTTACACCCCCAGATAGGAAATTTAATATTCTGTATCACTGCGTAATTTTATAGTCAGAAGTTGAGTCATTGCCGCGCGACCTCAATTCTCGCACAACGTCCAATTTTCAGAACTTATGTGAAAAAACACCAACTCGCCATCAAGAGGATAAAAACTGTGCTTAATGGAATTTGGAATCAAATGCGCAGCGCTACATTAACACAGTATGTTATAATAATAAATTTAATAACCTCTTTGGTGTTAGGGGGCGGTGGGGTAGCCTAGTGGTTAAAGCGTTCGCTCGTCACGCCTAAGGCCCCACATGGGTTAACTGTGTGAAGCCTATTTCTGGTGTCCCCCTGCTGTGTGAAGCCTATTTCTGGTGTTCCCCGCTGTGATATTGCTGGACTATTTCTAAAAGCGGCGTAAAACCATACTCATTCTCTCTTTGGTGTTAGCGAAGATATTGAGTTAAGCGGCATTGGCTGAGTCCAATGTTTTAAGTTTATCTTTTTATTTGAATTAATGAAACACTGACAACAACATGTGATCAAGGTACGGTGCTGTATGAGCTCAAACATTGTTATTTCACATCATTATACTTTACACTGATATATGACAGACATTGACACTGAATATCACACGTATCTCATGAGCCAATAGGAAACATCCTGAAGAGAATGAAGCAAGCCTTACAAGATTTATTCTCAGCCGCACGACACTATTGTGACGTCACCCTAAAGAGAATGAAGCAAGCCTTACAAGATTTATTCTCAGCAGCATTGCAATATTGTGACGTCAGCCTAAAGAGAATAAAGCAAGCCTTACATTTTTATTCTAAGCCGCACGACACTATTGTGACGTCACCCTAAAGAGAATGAAGCAAGCCTTACAAGATTTATTCTCAGCCGCACAACACTATTGTGACGTCACCCTAAAGAGAATGAAGCAAGCCTTACAAGATTTATTCTCAGCATCATTGCAATATTGTGACGTCACCCAAAGAGAATGAAGCAAGCCTTACAAGATTTATTCTCAGCCGCACGACACTATTGTGACGTCACCCTAAAGAGAATGAAGCAAGCCTTACAAGGTTTATTCTCAGCAGCATTGCAATATTGTGACGTCACCCTAAAGAGAATAAGCAAGCCTTACAAAGATTATTCTCAGCAACATTACACTATTGTGACGTCAGCCTAAAGCGAATAAAGCAAGCCTTACAAGATGTATTCTCAGCCGCACAACACTATTGTGACGTCACCCTAAAGAGAATGAAGCAAGCCTTACAAGGATTATTCTCAGCCGCACGACACTATTGTGACGTCAGCCTTAAGCGAATAAAGCAAGCCTTACAAGGATTATTCTCAGAAGCATTACAATATTGTGACGTCACCCTAAAGAGAATGAAGCAAGCCTTACAAGGTTTATTCTCAGCAGCGTTGCAATATTGTGACGTCACCCTAAAGAGAATGAAGCAAGCCTTACAAGGTTTATTCTCAGCAGCGTTGCAATATTGTGACGTCACCCTTAAGAGAATGAAGCAAGCCTTACAAGGATTATTCTCAGCCGCACAACACTATTGTGACGGCAGTCTAAAGCGAATAAAGCAAGCCTTACAAGGATTATTCTCAGAAGCATTACAATATTGTGACGTCACCCTAAAGCTAAAGAGAATGAAGCAAGCCTTACAAGGTTTATTCTCAGCCGCACGACACTATTGTGACGTCACCCTAAAGAGAATGAAGCTAGCCTTACAAGCTTGATTTCTCAGCGGCATGGCAATATTGTGACGTCACCCTAACGACCATGAAGCAAGCCTTACAAGGGTTATTCTCAGCAGTACGACACTAGTGTTACGTCACCCTTAAGAGAATGAAGCAAGCCTTACACGGTTGATTTATTACTTGCCCGTGAAGAGATCACCCGTTTAATAAACATATAGCTTTATTACACATTGTGTAATACCAAAACGCGTGCTTATGTACTCTCGGAACACGTTTCACGAACAAATATTGAAAGCTCTCAACATCTCTTGGCTTATTCAACGACATTGCGAGTGGAGTTGATAGATCACTGAGAGGAGCTTATGCACAATCGATGACCCCAGCAACCTTGTTGCTAGGCTGACGTCACATGGCATTGTTTCACCGATGGATCTGGCATCAAAATTCCACAAATTACGTCATCGGGTATTGTGACGTTATTGAAAACTTTGAGGTGCAAGGCCCGTTCCACAAGGCGATCGTATTGTAGCGCAACGACAGTCGTTGGTCTAAGTTAAAGCATGTGAGATGCGAAAGTCTTAGCCCTACGATAATTTTGTGAATTCTAAAGGTAGACCCGTTGTATGGTATGAAATTCATACGTTTCAACTTTTGACGTGTTTGAAGTATTATTCTGTTAAACTCAAATTGACTATGTCGTGGATCATGTAGGTGTCAGCCTATTCATACTTAACAGTATAATTCAAAAAACGTTATAAATTGCAAGTAATAAATAAAATATTAAACTCGCTCCCGTGTAAAACCAATTTTATGAAACTCGTGAATAGTTGTGGTATCTGACTCGCTTTCGCTCGTCAGATACCAGAACTATTCACTCGTTTCATAAAATTGGTATTACACGGGAGCGAGTTTAGTATTCTATATTTCTCTGCCGCACGACAATATTGTTACGTCACGCCGCTCATTGTGACGCAAAAGATATGACGACACAGTCGGCTGCATAAAAGAACCAATACAATACACTGGATGATGGAGATGAAGCTACTTTGGTCCAATGGTTTCGGAGGACACAATGTTTATGGTGCTGATAAAAGCGACAAAACCATTTCCATGGTCATAAGATATCTTAATCGTACGATGACACCAGCTGTTCACTAAAAGGTGAGCGTATCCTGCCACACCGTTGGCACCCATCACAAACACACATTCATGTGTACACGTGATGATACACGCAAACATGTTATACAAGGACAAGTCAAAATATGGAATTGAATCTGGGAATATTTTGGATGCTTCAAATTTGGAAATGTTCTCCGCGTAACTACCAATTAACATTTAAAAAGTTTTATTGAGGCCTTGATCAAACAACATTTGTGCACAATTCTTCCGCCGCTCTTTGAAATCCTTGCAGAAAGAGCATGGTCGATTGTTCCTCAAAGGTACCAAAGACTGGAGGGGGCGGTCGGGTAGCCTAGTGGTTAAAGCGTTCGCTCGTCACGCCGAAGACCCGGGTTCGATTCCCGACATGGGTACAATGTTTGAAGCCCATTTTTGGTGTCCCCCGCCGTGATATTACTTGTATATTGCTAAAAGCGGCGTAAAACCATACTCACTCACTCACTCCCAAAGGCTTGAGCTGCACGGTTAGTGCTCGACATGAAGGGAATTTTGACTATTGGAAGGCTGAAGTCATCTCTGGAAATATATTTAACACCCTGAATTTTTAGCACAGATCTAAATGAAACGGATGAGGCGGTTTCACTGGTCTCTATTATTTCTAATTCAGGTGTGTAAATGAGGGGTAGCTTACAGTGCCATATACGACATTCTAGTGACGCACTTCTATATCTCTGAATACATAACGGTACTCCCACGCGCACAGGGCAACGAAGCAGGGATTGGCAGCAGTGCCCTCAAATCGGACATTCAGTAAACCAATGGCCTCGTATTGATTAATACGTGTGCTAATCACATACAACCAGTACAATGATGCCTTCTCGGTTGATATTCCATTTCGGGCCTTGAACAAGATTATCAGTAAGGTGTAACCCGATTTTCTTCTTTCAATGCGTATTCGTGTGTAAAAGAGATGTTATGTTAGTAAAGTAAAATGATACTTGATGGAATTTTATTTTAATGGTTAATGTGATGTTGGTACTTCGTTGACATGGTGCACTGGTCGAGGGTTCGCCCCAATTGTTCCCCTTGGCCTTCCATCACCGGACCGAGCTCGTGGAGTTCACAACAATTATACATTTTCTTCTGCTCTTGTGGTGATTTTGGCAAGATAATATATAACCTGGAATAAATAAAAACAAAAATTCTTTAATGTTTTGGAAAGAGATTGCACCAAACGACATCTGCCGGGCAAAAAATTGGACATGACTAAAAATTGTAAGTGTTACCAAAACATTTATAACCTGAAAACAGTCGACGAAGCACAGCAAACATAAGGTTCAAAACATAACTATAATACCCGTATCACACACTTAGGCATCTAATAATTATTTCTTGTTTGTTTTATTTTTATCCACCATCAAATATGGGTGTTCTTTTGCTAGCCAGTTTATCTAAAATGTTTCACATGCAAAGGACCATTAGTCCATAAAATGGAGGATTCTTATTTTATTTAACAATTGCATTTGAAATATCTTTCTTACAGCAAGACCAAAGCACGGAACTAGCTGTCGTGTTGAGGACACGCGAAACATGAATCATTAATGTTGTAGGCGGCAGTGGTATGAATGGTTCTACCTGGCTATTCTTTTAAGGATGCCTGTTAATGGATAAAGATACGTGTTACGGTCATCATCACATTAATCCTCGGAAATGAAATGAAATATCCTCAAACTCCACCTTATATAAACTAGATATAGAGTTGTTCCGATGAGAATATTTACTCGGCAACAGATGTTACTGCAATGCTCAATTGTTTGCGGGTAATTTTATGGGAGGCTCAACCCAAGCGCATATGAAAAGAAACAATATGCACAAACACATCCGCGGTTGCCAAGTATTATTTGGCGTAAAATGTGATAAACATGCTTTTTGTTGAGTAGGTGAGGGAGTAAGGTTTTACGCCGCTTTTAGCAATATTCCAGCAATATTACGGCGGGGAACACCACAAATTGGCTTCACACAATGTATCCATGTTGGGATTCGAACCATAACAACGGAGGCTGAGGCTGAGCCTCCGTTGTTATGGCATTTTTGAGAGGCGATACGTGCAAGGTCCCGAATGGACTATGGCGATCGGCTGCGTGTACGGTGATGCAGGCAACGACTGCGTTTGGTTGCAAAGCAGTGGAGACATGTAAAGTTACCGTTTTCGCCTTTACCGTTGTGACGTTCGTATTCGTGTACACCGTCGAGGTGAGCGTTACGCCGATACATTGTGTTATTGAAGAAGACCGCTTTGGTGAGGTAGTTATGGGATGTGTCGGATGAGAATCCAGCAATACAGCTAGATGGTTCGTTTGACGGTGATCGAAGGACAACTGAATGTTAGGGTTATCTTGATGAGACCATTCAGCTCGTTGTCATCCCGTTCCTAAATCAACGTCCCCGTTTGATTTGTAAACACAACGCCAGACCACATTTGGTACCTACTGCATAACAGTACCGAGTGCAGAATAAGCTTTATCTTGTATTAAAGTTCATTGGAGATACACACGGTATTAACTTATTAATTGACGTCGCTTTTCATGTTCAATTTCAACCGTCGCTGTGTCCTGAGTATCCAAACCACACGTGACTAAATATTGAAACATATTATTGTTTTTTTTCATTTCTTCTGTCAATCAATATAGTACTTTCCACACTTTAGATAACTCCGTGTCTTGCTTTGTGTCATAAAGCACATACTGTAACTGTTTTTCTTTAGTATAGTTCGTGTTTCATTAGTGACGGATTTGTGAAAAATACTGTCCTTTCATTTGGATATTGTGATATTGTGATAATGTGATATTGTGATAATGTGATATTGTGATAATGTGATATTGTGATATTGTGATAATGTGATATTGTGCAGACAAAGAGACATGTTTGTTGCTCACCCAGGGGCAGGTTAAACCACGCTATGTTAAGACGTTCGGCAAAGTAAATCTTTGAGGTTCACGTTAATCTCTAAAAGCCAAATTGAAATATATGTGTTTATATAATTGAACAAGGTTTTATTGTTAAATTGAAGTCATTGATAGGGTTATTTGTAATTAGTTTGTTTTGTAATTAGTAACGGATTCAAGGTTTGCAGTGTCTTCTATAGTAAAGTGAAGGACAAAAAGAAAGCATACCGAGTTTGTTGAAAATTGAAAGGATCGTTAAATCTTAAATCTTAAATACGACTGTCTATTTAACCATCACTCATTCCTATGGCTAATTTGGGTAATCTTTGTGCCGAAAAACGCAGATTCATTGTCCTTCGAAGATAACACGTTTAGACACCCTCCAGCAGTTATTCATTATGCGAATCATTAATTTTTATTTTCTAAATTTGTAAATCAATTTTTTTATAAATATAAAACCTCGCAGAAGTAATGTTTGAGTGTCTTAGCGTCAGTACAGTTAATGTTTTTGGGATATGATGTCGCTAAGTTAATATATGTAAAATGTATTTAGTTTAGATTTATTTTTAGTCAACTTATACCTAAGTCAATACTCAGATCTAACGTAGTTTACAATGCACGAGCGAACATGTATTGTGCCCGTATGTTACGGGGTGATTTCCAAGTTGAAACGCAGAGGTTGTGTAATCAGTAAATGACTACCAAAGAACGATGAATTATTAAAAAATATGTTCAAATGTCTTGAAACAGGCCTGTCTCCGTTCTTGAATCGTGAATCGTGTTGGCAGCTGGCAGGAAGTCGGTGTTTACAAACAGGTAATCCAGTCCACTCTTGACAAGAAGATAAGACACCTTCAGGAAAAACGAAAAGGCCCCGAATCGACCTTTCGTCTCTCCTATAGGTATCGCCAACCTTCAAGAAGACCCATCCCGAAATTTCTCGAACGTTCTGGCTTCCAATGATCATACTCACCCAAGGGCGGACAACTCCAACTGTAGTACAAATCCATTCGGGAAAGTTCCACTCGCCCCCGTTGACCACGGCTCCAATCCGGCCACGACAGTCCTTGATATACACTTCCAGCAGTTCAGTAGCATGTCCTACTGCCACATAGCACCATTACACTGCTGACAACTTGCCTTTCTCTCAGATTGTGAGGCCATTTTCACAACTCCGTCATCTGCAAACTCCACATGGACGTTGTGACTCGGGAAACATTGATGAATGTTTCCTAAAAATGCCTCTTCGTATATATAAACACTGTCGAACAATAAATGTGGATCGCGTGGCCACCATGGCTGTTTAGTATGATTTAACTAATGAGGGTCGTCATAACCTGACCTGGGTCGATTGCGTCACTGTTTGTCCGACCCGGGCGGCACCATACATCGGGCTACAGAACTGTAGCTTCTAAATAACGGTGTCTGCAAGGGATACCTGGTTATATTATAAATGCTGTCCACGTCAATATGTAGTGTGACCAGTGTCGCTGCAAGCATACCTCCCCTAGTCATGCAAGGATCCGCTAGTTTTTGGTGCGGTTCACCAAAGAAATAAAAGTGTCCACGTCATTTTTACTTCCTTAAGTTTCTTGCCAATATGTCATAGCACAGAATTATTGATTGATTGTTTGTTTGTTGTTCAACGCCGCACTCGGTAACATTCCAGCTATATGACGGCGGTCTGTAAACAATCAAATAGTGATTGACGCCATTGGGATACGATGACATGCTTCAACCACGTCAGCGAGGCACACCCGATCCCGTTAGTCGCCGCTCACAAGCACAGGTTGCCGAAGACCGATTGTGAGCCCTAGCCTGATTGTGATGTTGACTTGTCGCTACACAGAGCCACAGGCTCCTCATAGTGTTTTCCTATTAGATCACGGTTCCAAATCTACCTCGCACTCCCTATCCTTCAGTAAAGAGCATGCGTCGTGATCTAACAACAAATTCACCTTCACTTCCTAAGACACTTACCCTGAAATACGAGTACTTATATTTTAGATATATCGAGTTGAAAACCGGACCCTTTTGATGATGTCAACCCGATAACTACAAGTTAAAAAAGTTTAACGATCGAAAACGTAAGTACACATATTATATGAGGAGAGTATTTTAGGAAGTGAATCGTGTTGCAGTTTCGTAGGAGTAGGGTTCATGTACAGTATGGCAGGGTTGTGAGTGCGGTATGTGCGATTACCGCAGCTACATCTGAACTTGAGACCCGTGAAGATCCGGGGTAGAATAGGTCTTCAGCAACCCATGCTTGCCGTCGAAGGTGACTATGCTTGTCGTAAGAGGCGACTAACGGGATCGGGTGGTCAGGCTCGCTGACTTGGTTGATGCATGTCATCGTATCCCAACTGCGTGGATCGATGCTCATGATGTCAGTCACCGGATTGTCTGGTCCAGACTTCATTATATACACACAGCCGTCATATGGATAGACTATTGCTGAGTGGGGCGTTAAACAACACACAAACAAACAAACATCTGAACTTGAGGAGCATTTGTCCAGTGAAATCCCTTTCTTTACTCACTCACTCAACAAAAAAGGGCTGATGGTCCACGTTGTATCGACTTTCATTATTGCAATTAAACCGTTCGGTGTGAAATTAAATCTAATTTGATTTCAAACGATTATTTATAGAGTCTATTAAGACGTCTCCTGTGCTTACGATTAAAGTCGGCTAAACGGTAGCGTCTTACATATCCTGACACTGTCAAGGCAATATGTCTGGGGCATCAATTCCTTCTACTGATGCATGTATATTACTGCAGAAGCAGCAAAAGGTACCTCGAAGGCAAAAGTAGTTGATACTTATTTATGTGCAGTATGTGAGAGTGATTTAGGTTTAACGCCGCCAGTTACAGTGAATAATAGGGTGGTCAGCTGAATGTGGGAATAAAGCCCGAAGTGATGCAGAAACATAATCGGGTCGAACCGGGATAAGGACCCACGATCATAGGTTTCTGGCGCGCATAAGGGACGCAACTCTGCACAGCGAATTGCGGCGTCTAAGAAGTGGAAATTAATCAAACGTGGAAGTTTCATGATTTGGGGGCTTTAGAACTGATTCAGTTGTCTGAACACGACATTCGCTTGTCAAGACATACCAGGGTGCCGTTGTAAAAAGCGAGCTTAGGTGAGCTGATCGTAACACTCACATCCTAACATATAGACTAACGGAAGTCGTAGCGCTGATATTGTTTCGTACAACGGTACCTTGCGCTTGTCGTTCAAAGTGAGTGAGAATGGTTTTACGCCGCTTTTAGCAATATTCCAGCACCAGAAATGGGCTTCACACATTGTACCCATGTCGGGAATCGAACCCGGGTCTTCGGCGTGACGAGCGAAGGCTTTAACCGTCAGGCTACCCGACCTCCCCTTGTCGTTCAAAACTTTAATGGGTTAAAAAGAGCTTACAGAGTAACGGGCAACGAAAGAACACAAACTTGTGTAAAGACCAAACTGTTGCCATGTACAATTTATAATTGTTTAAATTATTATTTTTTTCTTTAAATGGACATTACAATCGAATATTCAAAGATGACGTAGATTATGTTAAGTTGTGTGCTTCTGAATCACGATATGTTGTTAAAGAAAAAGATATGTTTAAATGCAAAATATTCATGTAACCGAGTCTTAATTATTCAATGATTGAGTGCCTGGTTAGGTTTAACGACCCTTCGTGTGGGAAGAAACGCAGAATCGATGCAAGTGTTTGATGTGTACTACTTAATGAGACCCACGAATCCACCCAAAACTAGAAACATAATCAGGGCAAACATGGGATTCGAATCCACGATCACAGGTTTCTGCACGCCTAAGGGACGCAACTCTGTATAGCGCGTCACATCGCCTCAGGAGACTGGGCCACCCGCGCAAGTGAAGAGGGCGTTCGGCAGTTTGCACTTACAACACAAGTATTGGTATAGCGCTGGAGTGAGTGATTGAATGTTTTCCTCCACTGTGGGTGATATCAGAGCAATGTCAAGGCGGGTGAGTGTTTACAGGAGTCGAGAACAGACTCACAAGAGGTATTTATCAGGATATACGATCTTCGCAATCAAAGTTGTTTCAAAAAGAAGACAGGTCACACATTACAAGCATCCGACGATAATTCGAGTCAGCTTTTAAGGCAATGGGGTAATAAGTAACTGTTTTTTCTTGATGTTCTGCGATTTTAATCGGGTCTGGATGCGGCTAATGAAGGGATCTCTGTATATATAAACTAATTTAAAATGTTTTCCATTTTCGTGACCTCGCTAAGATAATTCTGTGCACGAACTAGGTCCCTCGTATCAATGGTAAAGCGGCAAATGGTAAGGGACAGTTGCCTCAACGACAAAGACGGGTGTTAGAAAGTCCGACATTTCTCACTACTTGAGATATAAAGCTAGAAGATGTTGCTTTGGTCGACACGCCCTGTACATAGAGAAGCTAAATGCTACTAAAACCCGAGGTGAAGCAGGTCTTAGATGTTTTCCCTTTGGTGGTACTCTTGAACACGAGTTAGGTGCATACAAACCAGTGTCTGGTTGTTGTTAAACGCCGCATTCATCAATAGTACAACATTTTGGCGGCGTTATATGAATAACCGAGTCTGGACCAGACAATTCAGTGACATCATGAGCATCGATCAACGCAATTGGGATTCGATGACGTACATCAACCAAGTCGGCGAGCCTTACCACCCGATCCCGTTAGTCGCCTCTCACGAGAAGCATGGGTTGCTGAAGACCTGTTCTACCCCGGATGTTCACGGGCCCTGAACGGTCATGGACACAAACGGATATTGGAGACAAATGGTAGAAATATTACAGTCTGTTTAACATCATGCTGTCAACATAAACGATTACACGCGTGATAATATGCGTACCGAAACGCACATTGATTTAGAAAACGACATCAATATTTGTAAATACAGTCTATAATAGTCTAAGCCTAGGCTGAATTCAAACCCGGATGATAACGGGTACACAAACCATTAACCCTTATCAGGTAGAATCGGGGATACGGTCGGTTGAGTTTGGTTAAACGCCGCTAGTGTAACATGAAAATCAACCCAAATTATGCCCCTTCGATATAAAGGATCTGTGATCTGTTTTCTCCTCCTACTTTCATGTGGCAAACATCCATATAGTTCATTATAAGGCAGCGTTAGTTCGGAAATGTCAGGCGAAAGCAGATCCCACAAGAAGCGCTGACATCAGTCAAGTCGTGTCCTACAACCCCAATCATCATTAACTTTGCATGCTGGAGTTTGTTCGTGGCGTCGCTTTCGGTTAATGAAGGTCACGATGGATATTGTGACAACTGTTTGAGAATATATCCCCCGGCACCGATTCACAGTGCGACCTCTCACAGTTTAAACACTGGCAGTCGTAGCGCGAAGAATGTTTTGTGAAACGGGGTCTTTTCCTTCTCAGCTGTCATGAAATCCGTCAAAAAAGTCGGTTTCGAATACATTTATAATCTCTGCACAATATTAACACTGTCAATATATATATAAATAGATATATATAGTGACTGAGCACGACTTAATTCTTCATGTTTGTTTCTTTGTTTGTTGATTAACGCCTCACTGAGCGGCGGTCGAGTCCAGGGCCAGTGACTGATATCATAATCATCGATCTACGCAATTGGGATACGATGACATGTATCAACCAAGTCAGCGAAATTGTCCACTCGATCCCGATAGTCGCCTGTTAAAGCAATCATGGGTTGCTGAAGACCTATTCTACCCCGGATCTTCACGGGTCGTAATATTTCTTCATGATGGGATCATTGTACAGTCAAGTCTCGTTAATCCGACATCGTTGGTTGCACATGATTGTGTCGGATTAACGAGTATGTCGGATTAACGAAATTAAGTGATTTGTGATCGAAAATCGGACGTCTTCACGATAGATAATAACCGTGTGTACCTTGTAATAAAATCATTAAAAACGAAATATTAATATTGTTATGTTGTTTATTCATTCATTCCTTAATTTATAATTAATGACTATGCAAAAATAATAATAATTTTCCCATTTATACATAACAATAGAGACATTACTCACTGAATTTATCACATGATCAACGACAC